ATCTCCAGAATTCTACCGAAAATAGCTGAAACAGTGTATTTGTGGGCTGTTCTGTCTACCACACCGGATTATCTGCGGTTCCTTGTGACGCTCATCGCACTTGGTGCTGCGGCAAACTGAAGCTTCGGCCTTCAGGCATTTCCGTCGAAACTGTGTTGCCCACAAGCTGCAAGCGTTTTGTTGCCACTTGAGCGACTCGGCAGATGGAGGGCGGCAGTTCTTCTGATGTTCCCAGAAGACGTTGATGAACATACACATTTGCATCAATTGACTCAGGTCGAGATGCTTCCTTGCTAATCCAAGCTCGGATGCGCCTCCAACTACTTTGCAGGGCCAGGGAGAAATCGTCACAGTTCTGCTTATTTGATGGTGAAACTGTTTCTGAGCTGCCCTGGTAATGATGGCGCAGTATCTGAGGCGCATCGGGAACCACTGCATCCAAAAATATAGGTGGTAGTTCCCTGTCCCATGCCCCGTTTCTTGCTTCTGCGCATGAGGTACCAATCTGGGCCTGGGAAGGCTCACGACGATCGTCCTGCAGTAGGTTAAACGACACCCAGAGGCCCTTCAATTTAAGGCTTCAACGGTAAACTTTAGGCTGTCGTTAATACGCAGAACGATGGATATGCTTCAATACTCATCAGTCTGCTTTTCTTGCCACACCGTCTCCATCAATCGACCCCTTTCAAGTTGGTGAGACCACTTCTGGTTGAGTGGAGTCTCGTTCTTGAGGACCAAGGAAGTGCTTAGCAATTGTCTACGGTGTTAGTGCTGCATCGAACGCGTGTTTTAGTTTGATTACTTCTGGGGCTGGGGTCGCCTTGCTGCAGAAGTCGCAGCGACGGGCCGCCTACATCCACCACTCAACCCAAACCTCTGCNCTGGGGTCGCCTTGCTGCAGAAGTCGCAGCGACGGGCCGCCTACATCCACCACTCAACCCAAACCTCTGCACCGCTGTGGGTGGGGCTCCTAGAGACTGGAGAGGAGGTCGTTTGCATTTGCGAACTCTCGTTTGAAGTATTTCCCTCCGTCACAGTTCATGACGGTCGTCGTCTGTGGGACCGATGTCCCTTGTTGCGCCTGCAGCACTCGTGTACGTAGTAGCGAACAACCGCGAGGGTACCAATCATACAGTTTCATCGACAACTTCAGCTTGCAATCTGCAAATTCACTTTTGTGTGACTGCGGTGCCAGTGAACTGAACTTCGCGTTGCCTCTGTTACCTACTTGGAGTATTGGAAACTCGCTTAGGTCTCAGGTTTTCTGCAGATGTGTTTCATCCAAACGCTGGCGCCTAATGCACCAAGTAAACCCAAGTTGAAACTAGCTTAACAACCATCGAACGTGTGTACACTTAGAGCAATGAGTAGCTCTCAATACGTGTAGGGCGTATATGGCCGACCCACAGGAGGCTTTGCAGCGCCTAAATCTACCCCAAGGCCATCCGATCACTTCTGTGGCCCCACACAACTGCAGGTAGAGAGTTCGAGAACAGGAAATAGCATTTAAGCGTTAGTTTGCGGTTCTCGCTTCATAATATCTGAATCACATTCAATCCAGTCAGTTGCTGCACCTGCTCGCGGAACGGTCAGAAGTCGATGAGGAAATCGATGCCAAGCGATCTTCACTGGACTGTTTCAAGCAAGCGAAGCATATGCTTGTATGCATCTAAAAAATACACAAACATAGCACAAGCCTTACGAATAAATATTGAAAGGGAGAATTTTTCTGCAATGGGATCAGCGACACTCGTCGATGTCTGCCACATCGCTGGGTCCACCAGCACCACACCTGTAGTGCATTGGCACTACAATGCACCGCTGTAGATACCTAGTGGACAAAAACGAGACGAAAATTTATAATAATGTTCAAAATTTAAAATTTAGTTAGCCAAATCGTAGAGTAAAGGTAGTAAGCCGAGGATAGCCGACTCCCTCGTTAGAGGCAGAGTCACCGCGGAACGTGGGCCCCACGCCTGTATATCCCCCACGGTTCCAAGATCTGGCCGGCCGATCGCCTAGTTTGGGGCAAATGGATTGGCGTTGAATTCGGGCCCGGTGAACTATTTTGCTCTAATATTTGTCCACTATATTGTTTATATAACTATTAGAAAC